TGCTGGTGTGATTATGATGTATGTGACAGTGCTGTGACAGGCCTGGAGGGGGTGACTACATAGTCAAGCTGGGCCCTGTTGACCGTCTCCCCAACTTCACAGCAACAACAACCTACCACCCACTACTATACTATTCCTATTCTCCATCAAGCTATCAGCATGTCCAGTCCTTTCATCGGTTTACCAATCAGTGCAGAACTATCAAACGGAACAGTCGTAGAAGGAATCATACATGATATCGACCCATCCACTGGCAAACTCAACCTAGCACAAGGTAAACAACCATCGATCTGATACAAGATAACATTCACTAACTGACAATCCATCCCATCCAGCTCGATTTGTCAAGTACGATGGCTCATTCTCTGAAATCCAACCTAGCTTCATCCTCGAAAAAGACTTCGTGAAAGACTTGATGCTTCTCAGCACCACCAGACAAACTTCATCATCATCATCATCATCCTCATCTCCAACCCAAAACAATAATAGTCATCGTCATCACCCTCACCGTCAGAACAACAATAACACCAACAGCAGCAGCAGCAGTAACGGAATCCAATCACGGCTAAACGATCTATCGATAGACCAATCCAATCAGAAGACTCATCATCATCAAGATCTCTTCACAAACACCCAAGTCACTCTCCAACCAACCAACCATCAGAAGAACCCTCAACCTCCATCCAGAAGACGACGAAAGGAGCGAGACCAGCCCAAGAAACAACAGCCCGACGAACAAGCAAATCACCATCATTTCACCAGTCATCCTTTCAATAACAACCCACCCGATAGTGCTCATGAAGATACGGATGGGATACCTACTCCTGAGCTATCACCTCCACTCACTACGACCTCTCAACCTCAAACTTCCGAATCCCCCCCTGCAATCGTCCCTTCAGATTTCAATCAGGATTTTGACTTCCAAGCTGGCCTGATGGCTTTTGATAAGGCCAAGGTAATCATCACTATCAATCACCTGACTTGGAGAATCTTCACTCAATCACTCCCTATTGTTTTTTTATTTTCTCTTTTCTCTTGATAAAAGCTTTGGGCCGAAATTGCATCAACCGATTCGACGGATCCCAAGGACCGACTGATAGCTCATAATCGGAAAAAGACCAACGGGGTTCACTTTGCTCAATCGAGACGAGGAGAGGAAGATCATCCACGACATCGAAACTTGGGACCCACAGAGATGGTGTTATCAGCACAAGAACAAGTGACCAATGGATCTACCGTCTCCAATCCATGGCTTCAATCATCCAACAACAACAATCCATCCAATCCCTACATTCTTTCTACCGATGGACATCCGATCTATCCGGTCACGTTTGACCGATTAAATCTGGCTCTCTCGGCTGCTTCGGTTGAGTATGGTCCTAGCCTGATTCAAAGAATCGAGAATGCTGGTCGATCGATGACCGATTATATAATCAAATTGCTCCGGCAATCTCTCTCTTCGCCTAAATCTTACAAGGATTCCACAATCTCTATCCTCGTCGGCTCTCATGGTACTAAAGCTTCCTGTGCTATTCGTACTGGCGCACTCTTGGCTCTTAAAGGATTTAAAGTCTTCTTGGTCCTCAGCACTAACTCCAATCGAAAACCAGCTAAAGCTAGAAACGTTAGCTTGGCCTTTCCTTATCATTTTTTTTTTCAATTGATCCTTTGTTTTACTCACTTCTCATGATCATTGCAATTTTGATTGGATTGTCTAGGACGCATTTGAATTTCAATTGCGACTATTCAGCTCAACAGGGGCGACGATCTGTCCCCAGATTCGAGGTACGCTCGTTTCCTTCTTTTCACAATGTATTTTTCTTATTCCCGGCTCATATCATCCTTCTAAACCAATATCACTTTCTTACTTGTCTGCATCTTTTTTCAACACTCAAATCTAGATCTCCCCTCTTCACCGACATTAATTATCGAAGCGCTCGCCGAAAACTCGGTGACCTCCCTTCCCAACCATATGATCATTGACAAAACTTTGATCGACTATACCCATTCTGCACCGACGCTCGGTATTGATATATCCAGTTATTTGAATTATGATACTGGTGAGAGATCTACTTCTTCCATTTCAATCAAAGAGAACTCAAAAAGAAAAGCGAATTGATGACCTTGGATGAAACCTCTTTTTTTTTTTCTTCTTTTAGGTGAGCCTTTGGTGGGAACAGCAGATCTACCTTCGCATCAACATCTAGTATGTTTAGGAGCCTTGCCGAAAGGGGTTTTAAATTCACCAAGCACGCCCACCGAGGTCTGTCTGATCGATCTGACCTTGAGCGAATCTTGTTGGAGGAACTCGGCCGACAAAGACAGTGACTCTGATGAACACGATCAGGCTGGCTCTTATACTCATCCTTCTAACGGCAACCATCATGCTCAGAACGGCGTCTTGTCTGATCGTCTTCCTGATCTTCCTCCCGCTTCTTGGGGTGATGGATGGTATACGATCCTTAAGATTCGCTAGATCCTCCCCTCCTTGTCGGATCTTCTTTATCGGGGGCAAAGTGGGACATATTCTGTATAACATATATATCAACGATTACTTGCAAGTTTTGTGACACCAACACACTCACATACAAGAAAAAAAATCAATAACATTGCTCTTTCGATCTTGTTCGTGATCACCTTAAGTTGATCAACGGTCTAGTTTATCTTTGATAGGGTCCATGGACCTCTTCCTTCTCTATCTCTGATTCCTTCAACAGTTTTTCTTTACATCTTGTACTCAACACACACACATCCACAAGACTACACCTGATGGGTGGCTACTAACGACATTATCACTCTCTTATCACACTACGTAGTCATTCATCTATCCTTCATTCTTGGCTTGTCTTTTCTTTTCCTTTCACCCTTATCTTCTTTTTTCTCTCGTTACACACATGAATGCCTTTTTTTTTCCTTTTTATGTTCTTGAGAACCTTCATTTTTTTTTCTTTTTTCCAAAACAAAAAAATAAATAAACAACAAGTCTTGTTCAATACACGTGTGTCCCTCCTTGAAAATTGATCCGTTTACCAAATCAACTCCACATGAAAAAAAAAGAAAAAACAGAGAACATCATATCACTTCATAGCATCTCTTCACTTCTTATCTTTCTATAATCATAGTCATACAAGATCTTATGTGTGTATGTGTTGTAATGTATGTTTGGGAAGAGTGATGTGTGTATGTAGCCTTATATATAAAAACTAGCCCTAGCCATATGAGAGATTCCAAAAGACCCCTCTAGGTCTGAACATCTGCAGCAACAGGAGAGCCTGTTGGCCAGTAGTTTGTTTACCCATAAGTTGCAAGTACTCAAATCCCTCCTGAAGACCCATAAATCCAGATCATTCACCGTTCCCAACTGATTCTATTTCTAAGTAGCAATCAGTGGACTACTTAGTCTGTGGTCCACAAGCCAAAGCCATCAACAAACTCCCAGATTCATCAAACTGTTGGGTCCAAGACTCCATTAATGCAAATTCTGGCTATCAAGAGACCACCAATGCCCAAACTGGCTATGAAACTGATCAGTCACAGTCTCAGACTCAGTGCCGCTGCTCCACCTGTGCCTCTCCAGTGTTGGTGCAACCAAACATGGTGTCCCCTTTGTCAGATTCCCTGGTGTGAGCCACACACCCAGGACCTCCCAAACAGGCAGCAGTAGCTTTCTCAGATGTTGAATTGGGTCAGTCAGTTATGATAGCAAGATCAAAGCCAAACAAGAAGAAACCACATCTGCAAACATTGTCTGCCAGTGCCAACAGCCAGGCCAAAAAAAAATAATTACCAAAATCAAAATCAATGAACACCAATACTGTAGCAAGTGAGGGAGATCAGGTGTGTGGGAAATGACTTGTAATTATAACCTGTTGTTGTTCAGTGGAATTTAGTAGCTTATCTTTTATTAATCAACAGATAGATTCTGTGGTGGTCACTGATTCACTTTTTTGTAAACCGGTGTTGCCATTGGCTTGGTCACAAAGTCAAGAACAGGGCACACTTGAAATTTCTTCCCAAGATGTGACTGCAGGGACAATTCCAACACCAAGGAGTGGTTGGAAAAGCGCAGGCCTGACCATCCTAGTGTCAAGCCAAAACCCTTGACACACCATGTCAGACAGGATGACACAGCTGACCCAGCCAACACAAATATTTGGCCCTGTTGAGCAGGCCAACAATTTGTTGTCCAGTCAAGCCAACCCAAAACAATTGTTGGCTTGAACAATTGTCAGCCAATAGTCCCACAGACATAACCAGCTGACAAAGGCTTGTCTGCAGGAGTAAGCTGACAACATTGGCTGGTTGGTTGAGCCTTTGTCAAGGACAAGTGTGAGTTGGCTTGACCAAGAGTCATCCCAACCAACAAATCAATAAGAAAACACGTATCAATTAAGTGTTCTATGCCTCTTTCCTTGTGAGAAAGATGCTACATAGGACAAAAAAGCTTGAAAAAAAAAAAGAAATTGGAAGAAAAGTGGAAAGAAAGACCAAGGGATCCCAGAAAACAGAGAAAAGAGAGGCATTATTTGACATATCTGGGATTCATGTATAAGCAATGGCTGCTGGTGTAGCAGTCATGAGTAGTGCCTGGCTTGGAAGGTCACAGCTGGATGGCAAGTTTGAGTCTAGGGCAGTGCCTCTTTTTGGATCTTTTGAGATTCTGCCATCAGATGGAATGTCACTGTCAGGCAATCCACCAATGAAAGGCCTTGATTTAAGACTTCTGTGCCTTGTTGGAAGTTCAGCCAACAACAGACCTTCACACCATACCAATTTCAGAAGATCAGCCAGCAGTGGGCCTTGGCACAATCCTGATGTTGATATTAATGCCAACAGCGGCTTCTGACAACTCCTGCTAAGAGACATTGAGTTGGTCACCCACATTGTCAGGTGGTGTTGGGAGGGTTGGGCTGAAAAAATATTTTACATCTGCATACGGTCAACCAGCACCAGTGGTGTGCAACTTTGATCAAGATAGTGGTTAAGACTCAGTTGAAATACATGTACCTTGTCAACTGGAAGGAAACCCTTCCAGCAGGCAAGGTGCATGTACCTTGCTGGCTTGAAGGAAAAAATTCCAATCAACAAGGTGCATGTACCTCACCAGCTGAAAGGAAAACATCTCAGTCAACAAGATACATGTACCTCATCAACTGGAAGGAAACCCTTCCAGCCGGCAAGGTACATGTACCTAGTCAACTGGAAGGAAAACATTCCAGTCAACAAGGTACATGTACCTTTTCAACTGGAAGGAAACCCTTCCAGCCAGCAAGGTTGTGCATTGTTGACCATTCAAAGGGCGTGTATCCGGGGATACCTGCTTGGATACCTGCTGTGGCAGAAGGATACCCGCCAGCGGATGCAAATGTCCAATTCCGCTGAAAAAGTGAGTGGATATCTGGATGTGGAGGGGCCATCCTTAGTTGGAACAACGGTGCAACAGATACGAGACATGTATTTGTATTGGATCGTATCATCTTTTTTTTGAGCCTGATACATCATACCAGTATCAGTATTTTCTTGGTTGGTGAAAAAAATTATTGTCTCGGATTTGGATTTACAAATGAAAAAAATTGTCTTTGTTTTTTTTTCTTTTTTCTTCAATACAGCCAAATATCTTGTGTATCAGATACGGTTTTGGTGGGATCTGTCATCTGAAATGATACAGAATACTTGTCTCACTTTTCAAAGACAATACATGTGTATTGTCTCAGGAAAGTGAGACAACACAAATCCAGATTTTTTGGGTATTCAAATTCTGAGACAATACAAATAAACGCCTGATACCGTCTTGTATTGTCTCTGTTGCACCGTTGGTTGGAAGATAAGTTGAAAGAACCTGAGTTGTTTGTGCAAGCACCAAGTGCTGCAGTTGTGCCAGTGCAAGTTACACAAAATCTTCATGACACCAATTCCAGGAGTGAGTATGGGAATGCTGACAATGGAGCACCTTCAGATCATGGAGATTCAAGTAGAAGAGGAGGACAGAAACACAACTTCTAAGACAAGCACAAAACTACTTGATCTCACCAGCAAGGTAATTTCATGATGTATAATTGTTCAAACTTAAATGACTGAGAATAGATGGGTTAAAATTACTACTATAAATAGCTTGACATTTCTATCAAATGGATTACCTGTTTGGCTTCCCAGCATGTTAAAGGTAACTGTGGTGAAACAAGAGATAAGAGAATTGACAAGGTGTCAAGGACATGTTCCAAGGAAAGCAAGTCGAGATGTAATAATCATGAAGTGAGGAAAGAGAGACAGAAGGAGAAAAACTAGACTATATAGATGTGCATCAAAGCAACGGTGGGCCAGTCACACTAACTGTAGCATTATTCTAGCGTAGTGTGGCAAAAATACGCCACATTTTAGCGTGGTGTTAGCGCAGATGCACAAAACTGCGCTGACACTACATGCACAGGGTGCAAAAATGCGGTAAATGGTAGTGTAGCGTATGTCTGCGCTAATAGTACACACACAAGGCTCAAAAAAGTGCTTTAGCGGTTTTTTTGCCTTTTTTGCCGCAAAAAGCGCTGTAGCAGGGTGCTAACACTACACAGAAAGAAAGCACTGGTTAGTGGCGCTACATTGTAGCGCAGCGTAGAAGTGGTAGCGGCGTGCTAACACTATAGAAAAAACGGCCCCTGTTAGTGCCGCTACGCTAGCGCTAAGTGGCCCTTTAGCATAGTGTAGCGTAGCGGCCCACCGTTGATCATAGAAGTTGTGAGTGAATAATTTAGAAGCATAACACATCAGAGAGATTCTACTATACCATCTCAACACAGCAAGCCAATTTTGATTGGGTGGCTCAAGAGCTCCATCAGAAAGTTTCTATGTACCTAGCGACAGCAGGATCGTTTCATTTTTGCAGCAACCACAATCCCGTCGCGTGACAACAGTGGACGGATACAAGCATATCCCCTCCTGCTCAAGATATGCTTATATCCATCTACTGTCGTCGCGCAACGGGTGATTTACCATGGATCGTTTGAAGTTTTAGTTAACAAAATCTTTTATTTATCGTTAAGTTTTGCATAAAGCTTACTGATTTAGTAGTTATATACCTACTATATTTGTTAGTTGGTTATTATGCAAATCTTTTATAATTAGTTGATTTCATTATAATGATCATGATTTCATTATAGTTGATTTGGTCATTGTTTCCTTGTTATTATATATATGATTGTTGTTCTCTTTTGTGTCTTTTCTTTTCTTTTCCTCATCACGATTTTCTTTGTTTTATTTATCATCATTACATCTTGATCCTCGAAATAAAAGTCTTAAGTTCTTTTCTTTATAAAACCCTTTCAAGAGTTTATCTTTCTTTGGAAAGTAAACTACCCTCTACTCTTTCATAATATAGACGGTTTACTCTCTCGAGTAAACTTATAGTCATTCAAGAAAAGAAAGTAGTAGGCGGGCTCTCACAATTAAATCATGATTTTTTTTTCTTCGGAATCCTCTCAACTTCATAGAAAGTTATATTTGCAAAATTTTTTGCATCCTTATCGTTCTGAAATCCTTGATTTCCTTCTTCACATCAATTTCAGTTCCCTTCTCTCGACAATTTAAAACTCATTTGTTCATCGACCAATCGCTTCTATTTCATTTTTTAAGTCTGACACTTCCTCTCCTGTCGCGTCTAACAGAATGGCTTTCCCGGACGCTTCTTCCAAGAATTCTCTTAATCTCCAATCTTCCCATCCCCTTATTTCCCCTTTCAATAGTCCAGCTCCCAACGTTTATGTTGCGACTTTGTCTCATCGTGATCTTCCCCCATTGTCACCCATGCCGGACGACTGCCAACCGAGACCCATTCCTTCTCCATCTCCAAGTATCCCTTTCCCTTCCCCAGTACCAAATCGACAAAATAATCAAGATGGGGTTTCAACCCTTCTTTCGGGTTTACAAATCGAGAATCCTGATCGAGATCAAACCATTCTATCTCATTCTCAGTCTATTGCTTCTCTTGAATTGCAGGCTAGGCGTAATGAAGAGGTCTTACGGCGGAACGACGCGACCATCAAGGAACTCAGTCAACTTTTAGTTTTTGCTTCGGACTTCACCAAATTGAAAGCTCAAGTTTTGCGAGAGTTTTTGCAAGTTCCTAATTCTCTCAATATGGCAAACGGGTCCACCAATTTGCGTTTGGCGTTGTTGGAGACTCAGGCCACTTTTACAGCTAAATTTCATTCGGAGCCTCCTCATTACTCTCACCTGTCCTTTTCTGGTGAAATTTCTGAGACTCACCAGTTTTGCTATTCCGTTCGAGACGCCTTTGCTCGTATTTCTCATCAGTTTGGGTCAGATTGCGACCGCATCTTGTGGATTGCTAGTTACTTTTGCACGGCTTCTGGTCGTTTGGGCGAGCCTTGTCCGTCGTATGCTTGGTGGTGAGGCCTTCTCACTCGTAACACGGACGCTCAAGGGCTTCCGACTAAGTCTGTGTCGGCTTTGGCCCCGTTTGTTCTTCCGGAGTTGGCTACGTTGGACGCCTTTTTGGATCTCGTTGAATCGCACTTCTCTAGCTCAACCAAGGAAGAAGATTCCAGAAAGGCATTTTTTGCTCTTCGTCAGGGATCTTTGTCGATTTCTGATTTCAACATTCAATTTAATAAATTATTGTATTCAGTCAATCTTTCCCCCAAGTCGGCTCTTGAACACTATGAACGTGCCATCAATCAAAAGATCATCGAATTAGGTATACAACGAGGGGGTTGGTCAGAGTTGACCAATTTGGACGACATGCAGCGTATGGCAGTTGAGCTTTCTTTGGATGTTGGCCGCGTGAATCAAATCAATCAACACAAGTTTTCAGTTCCCCCTCCTCGCGTCGAATATCGAGTTTCTAGTTCGGCACCGGTTGTGGCTAAGCCTTCTCAAGCGGTTCCCATGGACATTGATTCAGTCTTGGTGTCCATTGGTTTTACTTGGCAGGCTTGGAGAAAGGCATGTACAGATAGGAGGACATGTTTTCGTTGTCTTGAACCCTTTGACAAGGAGCATGTGGATCAGCGTGGTTGCCCTCTTCCGGATTCGAAATGGTTGAAGAAAGAGGCTTTGTTACCGTTTTTGGAAGGAATGGGGTGGAAAAGTCAGGGAAGATGATCAGGATCTTGAGCGGTATTCCTATCGATCTGGCGATTTGGCTGATAAAGGAAAGAAGAGAGAATCCATTTCTGAACTCAATAGCATTCACGCCCCTAAGAAGTGTTTTTCGTCTCTCCCGTTGACTTCAGCTTCTCTCCCTCCTATTCCGTCGACTTCCGCCCATGTGGATGCAATCTCGACGGAACCTATGTCGATCAGCGAGATTATGTTCAATTGCCAGTTAAGTGAGTTGGAGTATGATGAAGGTAAGTTTCCCCATTGAGTATTAAGTTCATCTTTAAGTAATCGACCTCTCTTTGAGGGTCATTTGATTGTCAATCATCATGATTTAGTTAATGTTTCAGTTTTGGTAGACTCCGGTGCTTCAACATCGTTTATTGATGCTGATTTTGTTTCTTTACACAATTTAAGAATGAGATTATTACCTTCTCCTTTGATGCTTAGGTCGTTCGATGGTTTGTCGGCGGTCACGGGCGATGTTACTCATTTTGTGGACGGTATTTTTATTATTCCCTTGGTTTCGGGAAAGTTTTTAGAATCAAAAGTTTGACTTCATGTGACGCGGCTTTCTTCGGCCTCTGTTATCTTCAGTAGCACATGGTTGAAAGCTACCAATACCTTTATTGGAGGTGTAAACAATGAAATCATTATAGATGGTTGTGATTTTTCTAATTCTTCTGTAGAGGAATCCCCTGGTGGTTTTTTGTTAAAGAAATTTTCTGATGTATTTGTAACAGACAGTTTGGTGTCTCTCTCTCCTCATCGGACGGGTTTTGATTGTGAAGTTAATCTTAAGGAAGGAGCTGTTCCCCCTTTTGGGTGTATGTATAATTTAAGTAAACCTGAGCGCGATGAATTAAAGAAATATATTGATGAAAATTTGCAAAAAGGCTTCATTAAGGTATCATTGTCCCTGGCTGCGGCACCCATTTTCTATGTCAAAGTGGAAGGAAAGTCAGATCGACCTTGTGTGGATTATTGATTGCTGAATGATATGACCATTCGAGATTCTTACCCCTTGCCAGTGATATCTCATTTATTGAATAATTTGCGTGGTTGTAAGTTTTTGTCAAAGGTCAACCTCAAGGCTGCTTTCAATTTACTTAGGGTCGCGCCTGGTCATGAATGGAAGACTGCTTTTAGGACGCCATGGTGTCTTTATGAGTATCAAGTTATGCCCTTTGGTTTAGCTAATGCTCCGGCAACCTTCCAACGATTCATTCAACATGTTTTACGTGAATATCTTGACGTCTGTTGTTTTGTTTATATTGATGACATTTTAATCTTTTCAAGAACTCAAGAGCAACATCTTATTGATTTAGAGAATGTTCTGACTAAATTAAGGGAATTTTCTTTAAAAGCATCTTTGAATAAATGTGAGTTCTTTTGTCCTCTAGTGACATTTTTGGGTTTTGATATTACAGCTGAAGTTCTCAAGATGAATGTGAAGAAATTGGACACCATTAATCAATGGCCTTACCCAACTAATTTGAAAGAATTGCGCCAGTTTCTGGGTTTTACTAATTTTTACAGGAAATTTATTCCGGCTTTCTCTAAGGTGGCCGGTCTGTTGACTTGTTTAACAAAGGGCGATCTTGGTAATCAAGTTTCGTGGCGCACTGATTCATCGGTCAAGGCGTTTGAGGAGTTGAAGTCATTGTTTGTTAGGGAACCTTTGCTTCTTCACTTTGATTTTAATAAGCCACGATACGTACATGTTGACAGTTCTGGTTTTGCTATTGCAGCAGTATTGAGTCAGCCGGATGGTCAAGGTAATTTATTGCCGGTGAGTTATTTTTTGAGAAAGCTTACGGATAGAGAACGTTCCCGGATGATATTTGATTTAGAGTTGCTTGCGATTGTAGAGGCTTGCAAGGAATGGCAAGCTTGGTCAATGGGAACTGATGAACCAGTCAAAATGTTCTCTGATCATTCAAACTTAGTCTATTTTAAAACCGCGAAATACTTGTCCCCAAAGCAAGCAAGATGGGTGTTGTTTATTGACAATTTTAATATGTTGATTTATCATGTTTCAGGTACTAAGAATCCGGCGGATGGTCCTACCCGGCGTGAGGATTTCATAGGTGATAAAACTCAAATCTCTGAAGCTAAGGCAATTGTTGATTGGATGGTTTCAGTTGTGGATTGTGATGCTATTACGGAATCTTCTACAGTAGGATTTCATGGTATTCATGATCTATCCTTCCAGAGACCAAATCAAGCATTATTAGATTTTTTTTTCAAAGCATTATGCTAAAGAAGAATTTGAAGGGAAGGATATACAACGAGTCGGGGAGCTTTGTTTCCATTGAGATAGGATATTGGTTCCAAAGTCGTTACGGTTAAAGATATTACGTATGTATCATGATGCACCAACAATGGGCCATCCAGGGGTCGCGAGGACCTTGTCGACCTTAATGAGGACATTCTCTTGGCCTTTGGTGAAGAAATTTGTGACTGATTATGTTGAGTCTTGTGATTCTTGTCAAAGGGTGAAGGCTCGGCAGCAGGCAAAGGATGGACAGTTGGTTCCACTGGTCGCAGGTCCTAAACCATGGAGTACAATAGGAATGGATATGATAGTGAAATTACCTGTGTCAGGGGGTTGTGATTCTATTTTGGTGGTGATTGATTTGTTAAGTAAATTAACTCACTTTATACCATGTAAAGAAGCTTCTTCTTTGGCAGTTTTAGCAGGTTTGTTTCGCAAGAATATTTTCCGATCGCATAGTTTCGGATAGAGGAGCGACTTTTGTGAGTGACTTTTGGAAATCATTAATGACATCTTTAAGCATCCAGTCGGCATTGTCAACGGGGTATCATCCTCAAACAGATGGTCAAACGGAAAAGATGAATCAATTATTGGAGGATTATTTGCGACATTATTGTTCTTATTATCAAGATAACTGGGATAAGTGTTTGGATATGGCGGAATTCTCGATTAACAATTTGGATTCTGCGAGTTTGAAGGTTTCCCCTTTTTTCTTTTCTTACGGTCATCATCCGAAATTCAATATTATGACTGAATCTATGGGGCGGAAGGATTTAGATGAGTTTCTTTTAGATTTGCAACTGACGCAGGAAACGGCGATGGAGTGTTTAATTCAGGCACACAAGCGTCAAGCATTTTATTATAATGAACATAAAAAGCCGGCTCCTGTTTATAAAGAAGGTGATGAAGTTTTGCTATTAAGGAAGTTTATTGAATCTAGGAGATTGAATTCTAAATTGGATTATCGGTACATCGGTCCTTTTAAGGTGAAAGGTATGGTGGGTAAGAATGCGGTTGAGTTAGATATTGATAAGGAGTATCCAAGATTACATCCAGTTTTTAATGTATCACTGATAGTCCGTTATATTAGTCCGAACAGTATTATAAATCAAGGTTTGGTTGAAGGTATTAAGGATAAGTATTATAAAGATGAGGAAGTTGTTGATTGGACTCTGATGAAAGCTGTTTTGGACGCTGTAGGGCTCCTGGGACGGATAGAAACGGTAAAGTATATGTATATCAAAAGATCCCTTGAGGGGGAAATAAATTGCAGATAGGTTGAAAGGCTATTACAACTTACGGGTGGTTTGAAAGACCTGCCCCTCTAAATGTACTAAACAAATAACTAAGAGTCTTGTAATCAATATTTAATAATGTATGGCTGATTCCAAGATAGATCTTACTTTTGTAAAGTAATCTCTATCAGACCTAGTGTGAAACCTCGCCACACACAGGTTTCACAAACATCAAGCTTACATAATCTTCAACTAATAAAATCCCTTCAGCTCCCCTTTGTCCTAGCTCGGTAGAGAACTATTATCTTCTATCCTACCGAGCTAGGTGAGTTTTATGGGTTATTGTTCTTCTTTCATTCCTATTTCTTTCATTCTTTTCTAATCATTCTAAGTTTGTTGATTTGTACTGAGAGAACTATTATCTTCTATCCTACCGAGCTAGACTATTAAAAATAAAGATATACATTGGTTCTAGAAACGTTCTCTCCCGGCTACATTGCCGGTCTCGACGATTATAAGTACGATAGTGAAGAGTCACGACGCAACTCTTACACTTTTTTTTTCTCGAACCTGCTCATTGACACTTGTCACCAATTGATGACAACTCGGTCCAACCCAGAACCACTACTCCCTCTAACCGACCCGGAGGCTATCTTAAAAGAAGGACGACGCCAAGCGAGGCTGGAAAAGGCTCTTAAACAAACAACATCCGCAACTGGGACAATCATCGACGATCTCCCACCTCTTCCGCCCTCGCCAACAATGTCGGAAGCCCCCGAATCCGCGGACAAAGGGAAGACAACCGCTCCGCCGTTGTCGATGGACGAATATCTGAAAGGACTGTTGAAATTGCAACATCAAAGCATTGATCAGGCTAACATCGATCGGAGTGCAGCTCTGGAAAGTCTGAAGTGCGAGCGGGAGCTCCGACAAGCCGATGCGGACCGGATTGCAAGGTTGGAAGAAGCGGTCCTTCGAATGTCACTTAAGCCAGACCCGGGGACGCTATCAAAGCAAGTCGAAACGGGCCGCATCGATTTACAACGGTTTCGATCATCGGACGGACCTATGTTCTCCGGCCCATTTCAAGACGTCGAACGCTTCATCACGTGGATTCGGAGTGTTCAAATCTTTTTTGCCACGAAGGGCGTTAAGCACGACGACGATAAGATACAGATCACGGGCAGTCTTATTAGGGAGACCAACACGATCGCCTTCTACGCTAGTGGATTTGAGGGATTCATCGGGAATTCGT